AGTTTTGGTACAGATATTACACTTTTAAGTCTTATGAGACTCCCTCCAATTGTATGTACTGTAAAAACAGTAAATTCATTAAATGCTGTCTCTCATTAGTGATACTATCACCTTGCAAAAAAGCACAAAAATAGCACAAAAATAAGGCAATTTTCATAGTCTTTGTACTGTCTGAAAATTCAAATATGTTTATTCTATGAACTATTGATCAATATATTGTTTATTAATTATATAAAGGTAATCACTTTTGGATCTTTAAATCAACTTTTGTTTATAAATGCACTCAGTTTGGTGTAATTCATTTTCCTGAGACTTAAACTAGATAGAACTGGGTACGGTATGTATAACAAGGCGGCCATGTAAAATCGGTAAATATTAAACGCACGATAACATTTTTTAAACTGTGTCAATTTATTGTTAAGGTTCCCCTTTGTGAAAAATTGGGATCAATTTTCCTCAACTCACGTGACCTTTTGTGTATATAACGTTCAAAACCGGTCTATATTCCGGAATTCGCCTATTTTGGACGTTTTCCACCTGTTCAAGGGTAGATCTCGATGTGGCCGCATCCGAGTATGTATACGAAACTTCGCAGAAAAAAACAAGTATACTTTGGTTTCAAATATACAAGAGAAAAATTGACTGTACAAAAGTGTAGCCACGTCCGTTTTTACGAAAAATTGTAGTTGAAAAAAAATAGTTTTTGGATAGATATGACTTTTCCTCCATAATAAAATCTATACTTTTAAAGAAATTTATCATTTAAGTTTTAATCTAAAAGTTTTATTATCTAATCAATACTTTTAAAGAAAATAATTGATTAAATCTGTATCTGAATGTAATGAAAACCAAATAAACTTTTTCTCCGTAAAATTTATAAAGAAACATTAATTACATGTAAATTAATGACGCAATACTTTGAAAAACATGACGTCATAATGAGCCATCATATATTGAACTTGTAACCAAAATCTTCAGTCTTCTAAAAAAATTATTTTAAAATATGAAAATTTTTTAATCAATATGTATACAGCGAAAAAAAGTAATAACGACATGTGTTGGTATGGTTCAAAGGATTAATTTACATTTATACATGTACCTCTAATAATTCATAGTGGAAGTGATATTGACTTTACTGTTTAAGAAAAAATTCTTTTTTAATTTTCTATTGAAAATTATCATGCAGCTTTCTTGAGTATGATTTAGGTTATACATTTATCAAGCTGATCAGAATGTTTAAAGCAGTGTTTTCAAGACAGGTTAAAATTATAACCATGCAATTCAAATGAGGATCCAGGGCCGCGGTGCGTCGGGCGTCCCCCTACACCCGTTTGATTTATAAAAATGATTGCATTTTGTAAAACAAGCATTTAACTTCTGTTATGTACAGTTTAGTGTCGTTTAGTTAAGTATAAGTTGAAAAAATTACATCTAAGCCAGTGTTTTATCATTTTTTTTTTGTCACTAGAATTAAACACAAACATGTAGATCTACAAGTATGGTACGAGATATTCCGAAATATTGTTTAACCGCCATACATGTACCTATGTATTCTAAAATTCCTGCAACGTCACGATTGGTTTTCTGAAGTAAAGAGGGAAACACATATTATAGTAGGTATTCGTTCCCCGGACCCCACCAGGAATGTGCCCTCACACCCGTGGGGCTTTTACTCAGCTCCAGCCCAGACACCCTGCCTTCAATGCCCCCCCCCCTTTATTAAATTCCTGGATCCGCAGCTGTAGTTTACAAGGAACTTTAGATAATGAAATAATATTATTTTGACAAGGTCATGTAAGGCTACAGTTGTGAGCGTTTTCAGCACTTACTACGATATTGTATAAGAAACATAATGCAATCAACAATTTATTTTTATCTAAATAAAGATTAACTGTTCCGAATTGTAATTACTTTTTTCTTTATATAGAAAAATGAAAGCAATTTTAACATATAACATGAATCCGTAATTTAAGAAATAAAAACACGCATAATCATGTATTATTTTGAAGCAAGAGACACCACTTTTCCCTCTCCGCTTCATACAATCCATGTATTTAGCTGGATAAGGACTTTTTCGGAAATTAATTCAGACATTTTATTAGACATTAAATTGCTTTTAAAAATTATTTTTGTTAAAACAAATGTACACGTATCAGACAAAATATTGTTGAGATCTTTTTAGAATTTTAACCAAATTATCCACGAAATAATACATTAAATAAGTCACGGGAAATAAATTTTGATAAAAATTGACATTCATCAGGACATGGAAGTGGGTGGGGTGTCCAGTCCAATATCACCTTAGTAAAAATGGTTCACATCAAATCTGAATTTTAAAGACGTCAACGTCCGACTTTGATGATTATTCGTTCCAAAAAATTATTATTTTTACTGAAATCTATAAAATATTATAAGATATTCACCTGCTTGACTTATTCTCGATTACTCCGTTGGAAGCTTCAAGGTTCCACGCCACATTGCCAGTAAACTTTAACTTGAGCTGCAATCTGCCACTGAGCTCATGGAAAATTGACTACTGTTACTCCTGTCGAAAGAATTAACTAAATATATTTGGTATCAGTTGCACAGGTCAATGTGAAAAGGTGAACTACCCCGTAAACACAATGACACATTCATTGGAATTATACGAAAACAAAAAGGAAAATGTAAGACACACATGCACTATTTGCTTAAGCGTCTAGATAAGGGGTTTCCAAGTGTAACAAAAACGAGGGGCTTAAAGATCCAAGTGCTCAAATAATATAGAAAGGCATTTGATATGAAGAGCTTTAATTCTCTCTGATCGTGTTTGCATAGTGAGCTTATATGGGAATCGTTTCATTATATAGAAGAGAAAAAAATTTCAGTTGATTTACATGTATAAAACAATTTTTGGTTCTGTACTATAGCATTTGTACGAATTGATAAAACACTTTTTTTTCTACGTACGAACAAGACCTGGGATTGGTGTATACAAACTTTTTTTTTATTAGTTTCTCCCTTTTAAATGTGTGACAAATTTGATTAAAAAGTATACATGTGAAAATGACATATATCAAAAAATAAACAAGTAAATGGTGGAAGGGGTGAGAATAGGTGGTTTTCTTATCTCATCTTGGTAACCTAAATTGACTTCGCCCAATTACACAAATCACCTTGTCCACACCTCCTAACCTCATTAGCATAACTCGGAAGAATTCAGAGATAAACGTAATAAAATATGAACAAAATCCGTAAAAGTCCGAACAGCTTTCCTCGCGAGAATTCAGCGAGACCCAAATGCTAGAGGTGAAAATCGAGAGAGAAATTCAACATGAAAGAAAAACTGGTCACGGTAGCCTAGTGGTAGAGCGTTCGCTTCGTGATCGGGAGGCCCGGGTTCGATTCTCGATCGCGGCGCCGCGTCATACCTTAGACGTAAACAAAGGTAGTGACTGTTCCTTCGCCAAGCGCTCGGCACTAGAAGTGAAAGTCACGGGTCTTTCGGATATGACCTTAAAAACGTAGGTCCCGTGTCACGGTAGGCGTTGGCACGATAAAGAACCCTCACTGCTCAATGGCCCTGAGTGCCGAGTAAAGGTCTAAATTTGAAGCCCTTCACCGGCATCCGTGACGTCTCCATATGAGTGAAAAATTCTCAAGAGGGACGTTAAACAATATACAATCAATCAATCAATCAATCAACATTAAAGAAGAGGTAAAACTTTATATTATCTCTATTTATAAGATTTGTAAATTGCAAAAAGTTGAAAAACAAACGTTTCTTTACCTGAAAAGTGAAAGTAGATTTGCAGTTTCGTATTATGTCAAGTGTTATTGCACTTTAAAGTGTCAAAACAGCACCTCTCAATTTTGTAAACATGTTTCCACGTGGAAGGGAGTAGTTTATGTCGGTCAAGATTAACCATGTTAACCCACATACAATGATTTAGTAAGCAAAAACACTCTTAAGTAGAATTTCATTTATTTTTCCGATTACCTGTAGCACAAAATGGCTTAATATTTTAGGACATGTTTGTCAAATGCTGTTAATAGCATGTCTTAAATTAGAGAGAAAATGCAGGTGTGCTATAGTTCGTTCCTACTTGTAAGGTAGTCTCTTATGCATGTATATGCAGAGTTACGCGTATAAAAGTTATTATTCTTACTTATCAATACCCAGTGATTTGTCAAAACCTTATGTTTTTATTTTTCAAATACCAAGAGACTAAATTTAATTCTATCCGTACTCGTGTGTATGCACAAGAAGTTCTTCCGAATTTCCTCTACACATATACATTGTGTACCTGGATAAAGGATTAAAAGTTTGTTTACATTTGTTTGCAGTTTTTATAGTGTCAGCTGTTTATATCAATCATGCAGTTTTCACTATAGCCTATACTGATCAAAATATGGTTGTTTCTTTTCTAATTTAGTAATTTAATATCATAGAATTTATGATGATCAGATGATGTCAATGCAGTTCTCACAATCTTGTGTATTAATCAAGTATGAAACTTCACATATGCAGTTGTCGCCCATGTGGTGCAGTGATTAGAGCATCTGCTCTAGAGTCGGGAAGTAAGGAGTCTATCCTTACCTTGCAAGTTGGAATCCCACTGTGGGACGTGGAGACCCGTCGTTCTGATGAGAGTGAAAGTAGATTTTGAGAGAATAGAACTATAGTAATTACCGGCTTATGACTAAGGAGAGGGTTTACATAGGCATTGCCTGTTGCCCAATCCTGATTGAATTATACTCAATAAAATATGTTTAAAGTAACTATATTTTTGCACGTAACTTTAAAATAGCAACTATGGGGTTGACATCCTGCCTTGAACAAGATGACATAAGCCGGTAATTACTCTTTGAGCAATAAGCCCGGCTAAAATCATTTCAAATTTACAGTTTAGGATCAATTCAACGGAAAAAAAGATAAAATAACAAGCTACATAAAAATAAACAATACACATATCATTTTTAAACATAATGCACAAGGAGAATTAAAGCATGCACCTCTCTCATGTATCTGTTAAAAAGTAGTTTTGCCTATTTATGTATCTATATACAGACACTATTTCAGTACATTCTGATGATTCTCGCCCTACATAAAGAAGAGTTTTGTAGTCATAAGCCAGGCCATACAGCTCGTGTATACTTCCTGGTTTGGACAACAGGAATGACAAGAAGTTACCATCCTTGCCAATCATCTGTTTAGTGTCAGTGAAGGTATCCACCACCAGAGTATGTGACAGGGCGTCTGTACAGATCCCAGCAGGCTGTAATATATGTCGCAGTCCTGATTCTGATGGAGGTCCAAGATCAGAGAACCGATGTTTGCCTCTGGAATCTACAACCACTACAACATTGAGATTATAGTCTGATACAATGATATCTCCATTACAATTTTTTGTGAGGTACCTAGGATCTCCAAATAAAATTTCACCTTTTTGGTCGAATTGGATAGTTTGGATTTCTTTCCCAATGTTGTTGTACCGCTTTACCATGCCTACATAAGAAATATTAGCTTTTGTATGGGATTCCCTAAAACCAAGAAGAATGTCACCATTAAATGCACAGTAGTGGAGACTGATGGGTCTCAATGAATTTGTTATTCTTTTTAACATGACCTTTGTCTTGCTTTTTGTTTGAATTTTGACATCTCCTTTGATGTCAATGTAAAGAAGTTTTCCAGCGTTTGTTACTGTGTGTACACTAGGTCCTGTTAATGTGGCATTGTCTGTAACTTCCTGAAGAGTTTCTCCTGACGTGTCTGTCAAGATTAGATTGTTCCAATCACTGACCCAGAATCTATCTGGTGTCACAACAGAAATATGACAAACATTACTGATATCTTTGACTTTAATTGACCTTTTTAACACAGGTTTAGACATCATTTTCAGCAGCTGTTCATTTACTATTTCTGTTTTCATGATTTCACTTTGGGTTTCTTTTAATAAAAGACTCACATCAATTTTGCTTAAATCCTCATTTATTGAGAAAAGAGGTACTTGATTAATCATTTCAGTTTCTATGATCTTGTTGAAGAACCATTTCTTGTAAAATAAAAGAAATCGTACAGGTTTGTTCAATACATGCTCAGATCTGATGTTCATGATATTCAGATTTAGCAAGAAAGGTATTTAGTTTGGACTTCTGATGTTGCAGTGTTTGAAACAAATTGTGGCTGCATTTTGTTATATGATTTAACAATACAGTATCAGTAAGACCCTTAAGCATTGTAGCTTTTACGGACATTGCTGATTGAATACCTGAGATTTTTATACTGCATGTTTTTATGTGATTCTGAATCCGTGAAAAGACACAATAGTTCCTATACAGAATCTCGCTTCTGATTTTGTAAATGGTTTCTTTGTGTCGCCGTAGGGTTTTTTTTAAAGCAACTGTAAGATACAGCTTGTTGTGATTTCTATGTTCTATACACAGATTACAGACAGGTAGTTCACAAGACTGACAGTACCTTTTATATATCAAATATGGATGTCTTTCACAAGTCTCTGCTTTTTGAATAACTTCAATCTTCTCTCTGTAAATCACAACATCATGGTATACTGAATCTAGATTACTTAGATGCTTCTCTTTACACTGTGGACAAAGGTTACATTTACACGTCTTGCAGCAGAATTCTGTGTCCCCGTTGCAAACAAATCATGTCCGTACCATACACTGAAGGCTGAAATCTTCCTTAGCAAGGGCATTGAAAGTCATACTGTATAAAGTATAAATTATTTATTTTATTTTATATGTACAGGTAATGTATTGGAAGAATGAAATACGAGTAGTCTTTAGATGTGAGACTGAAGGATATCATGATTGGAAGATAACACGAATTAAGAACCTAGGATTGTTCAATCTGATTTTATTTTAAAAATGCATTTTTAAAAAAAGTCCAGTAAATTAAATCTTTGTTTCTGCTAACTTTGGACAGGAAAAAGACTGAAAGTGATCAATTATAGTCTCATTACGAATTACTGGTGCATGTTAACTTTGAGATGCTTACTTCTACTGGGCAACTTTTTCACTTCTCAAGTTTCCGGTGCCAAGTTTTGCCCCGTTTGCTATACAAGCATATGCATGTAACATGTGTACTCTGAAGTAACATGATGTAAGAACATCTACATGTGTCCGTAGAGAATTGATAAAATATTTATCATCATTGATTTACTTTCTTACGATCTATTCGAACAGGTCGAGAAAACTATTTTCTGTGACAAATTAAAATTTACATGCTATATGTGACACTATCGTGAATGACGAACCGACCAATCAACTAAATGGTTTGCATCATAGGTAGTTTCATGTATATTTCGAAGGAGCAAGTTTTTCAAATCGCTCTCGGAAATAAAACATGTTGCATTTCCCCCAACAACTTTGCACAACTGAAACACTATTTAAGTCATTACGAGGGGTAATCAAAAAGGTCGCGAACTAATTGAATAATTTCCATAATAGAAACAATATTTGGTTTCAATGTTGATTATATTCAAATAAGTCCTCTCTAAGCTTAATGCATATCTGCCACCGTTCTGCTCATACGCTAATCACGTGATATAGGCGGTCAAGTGACCCCCACCTAAGCGTTCTGTCACAAAAGCTGAAAGATTTTTCTGAGTTTTATATATTTCTTTCCAAGTAAGTTAAATTTTATAACAAAAACAATTCATTTGTTAGAAATTGTGAAATCTCGGCAACAGATTGGGTGGATAAAATTTTCCTTTCAAAAAATTAGCATGGCGACCATCAAAACCTTGATCTTCAGTCTTGAGAGAGACATTTATTCAAGGTGGGTAGTGAATCTGTGTCTCCTTTTTATTTTATCTATTATGTTTAAGATCTAAAGTTAATAATTTTTTATGTATAAAATAATTATATTATTGTTGAAATATTCAAGTTTTTTTTTTTCAAAGTGTAAATTGGAGGTCTTTGATAGCAAATTTCTTAATTAAAAACACATTTCATACTTGCTTTCACTGGGCAACAAAACAAGTTTCATTTTTAACCATCTGTATTCCTTCACTAAGACCACCAATCAATTCGTTTATTGAATTTTTAGTAAGACAATTATTTTGATAAATTGTGTACAAATTATTATACTCTACTTCAACGGGATTTTAATAGATATACATGTTCTATAAATTCAATAGTCGTTTGTTGAATGAGTACGAGTGAGACAACAATTTTTCGTCACAACTGATTTACACAGTGACGTCATTTTCACATTGTGACGTCTGTATTCAGCATATTCTATTTATAGACCAAGCGTATTGCTATGTGTCTACCATTTTTTTATAATCTGAAATGAGGTTTTGTAGATATAGAATTAGTTCGCGAACTTTAATATCACCCCTCGTATCTAACGATTTCATGCTAACATTTACCAATGCGTTTACTTCACTCCATTGTTCACGTCATTGCCTGGCAGCTTTCCCATTGCTGTGTTGTCAGGGAATATGAATTTTTCACCTGGTTTAAAACAATTTACCGACACTGTGGTGTAATCATGCAGGTATTGTTTATTATGTATATAACTTCCGATACAAATGCTATTGAATACACGTGCACGTTCTATGATCAATGTACATGAGAATTAACACTGTGCAAATTATTATTCGTGCAGCAATAAACTGATGTTTATTTTTTTTTCTGCAAATGCATTAACTTTTAATTTCTAGCGAACATATTATACGAAAAAACAACAGATAATAACAGTAGCATGGTAACTTTACGTAAATAAAGTCATAACAACTGGATTCATTGCATCCCAGAGGACCGGGCTGCTCTATACATATAAGTTTAAGTGTTGGTGTATGGGGATTTAGGTGGGTGAAGTTATTCAGAATTAAAGGTTTTCTACACATTAAAAAGATTGTTAATCAGAATGTTCTTTCCCTTGATAAATTACGAAATAACTCATATATATTTACTTCCATGAAGTGAATCTATAAAAAAAAAATATATGTTTTTCTATTTAACATATAAAGTTGCTTATCAATTACTGTCGAAAAAAAAAACGACAGGTCCCTTTTTTAAAACTTCGAAATTTACATGTCGCATTCAAAACTTAAGGTACTCTGCACAATTCGTGTTTTATATTCTTTATATTCTTCAAGTGAACACATGTTTGATTGATGCATGTCTCTAGATTCAATTTACATTTGATGCAGCCAATTTTACTTGAAGAATTGATAAAGTTTACAGGGGTATTGTTTTTTTCGATTTTAATCAGACGATAAGTTTTCAAAATATTTTCGACTATCGTCTCCATGACGCATGCCTTTTTAGCACAAATCGAAGCGGTTTGATGATCATGCCTCATTTTCTTTGTTTACTTTATTAATTTTCCGGGAAAAAATTGATGGTTACATCAATGTTTTCCTGTGTTTACTAGTGAAGACTCTTTGGCCGGTATTTTAACGTACTGTATATGATGGAAATATGACTTTGTGAATATGAACATAAAAAATCTTACTTGTAGTTTCTATTTTTCAAAACCTTTAAAATCATTATTAGTTTAGTTTCTGGCAGTCATTTGAAATCGCTGACTAAATTTACCGGACCGACATTTCTTGTAGTTAATTGTAAGCATGTAGTAAACCACTATGCACTTCAGTTTATTCATTGCATTGGATCATTTTTCCCTGTATGCACCGCTATGCACAATGTCAACAATATCTATGCAAGACAGGTTTCTCGACCTGTTAGAGAAACTGTCTTTCTACAGATAATACGCTTAAGACTCCCTCTAATAGCATGTACTGTAAAAACGTACATTTAACCCCTTCCATGGCAAAGATTTTCAGTATTTCTAGACATGTTCATATTAAGATTTCATTGCATTTTGGTGGGTATTTCTGGTAAGTTTTGTATATACCAATGTTATAATTATACATATTCTGAAAGCAGGTATTGTGCTGTTTCTGAAAATGATTATAAAAAAATCATTTCAGTTGCCATGGCAACAAATTACACCATAATCATGCTGGAATTTTCATTTATTGAATAATGAGTTTCATTTTAGTTCTCTTTGCTTTGTTAAATATATTAAAAATATTTTATTGTTGTGTTGAGAATTATGAACATCGGACGTTTTGTTACAACAGAAACACATTTACGGGTAAGTCTTCCATCAGTGCATGTCGTGTTATTTCTACTATAGTTTACTATGTTTTACGATTATCAATTTACTTGTTCATATTTATTTACACTTTTACCGAGTACCCGAGTACTCGATCGGAAAAACGCCTGAGTAACCGAGTATTAAAATTGACCGATCTGACATGCCTTATATAAACGTGTGGTAAACCAATTTGCTTTTCGGCTTATTCATTGGATTGGACCATTGTTCCGTATATTCACCGCTGTGTGCAATGACAACAATATCCATGCAAGTTTGATTCATCGACTTTAGCTTGTTAAAAAAACTGTTTTGGTACAGATATTACACTTTTACGTCTTAAAAGACTCCCTCTAATTGCATGTACTGTAAAAACATTCATTTAATGCTGCCTCTCATTAGTGACACAATCACCTTGCAAAAAAGCACAAAAATAGCACAAAAATAAGGCAATTTTCATAGATTTTGTACTGTCTGAAAATTCAAATATGTTTATTCTATAAACCATTGATCGATATATTGTTTATTAATTATATAAAGGTAACATCTTTGGATCTTTAAAACAACTTTTGTTTATAAATGCAATCAGTTTGGTGTAATTCATTTTCCTGAGACCTAAACAAGATAGAACTGGGTGCGGTATATATAACGAGGCGGCCCTGTAAAATCGGTAAAAATTAAACGCATGATAACATTTTTTAAACTGTGTCAATTTATTGTTAAGGTTCCCCTTTGTGAACAATTGGGATCAATTTTTCTCAACCCACGTGACCTTTTGTGTATATAACGTTCAAAACC